CTGATCTTCGATACACGGGCTTCCACGGCTTCGACGGCGTCGAGATCGGAGCGCCGATTGTGGACGGAGCATGTGGTGGAGGACGGTGCTTTTGTGATTTTGGCACCGTGTCGGCTGTGCAATGCTGTGGTGGTGGACCGGTATTGATCTGTCGCAGGCGAGGAACACTTTTTTCACGGTTGTTAAATTAAGAGGGCGCCAGAAACTATAAACGGTTTTGCAACCGAAAAGAACCCAAAAAGATGAACAGTTATTTTTTAGCTGATATCTCTAAAATAGAGTAAAAAAATTATATCTCTATGGAAACAACCTCCAAAAGATCTTATAGTTCTCCATTTCAAGAGACCCTCAGGTCAGTTTGCCGCGGGCGGAACGGTTGCAAAGGAACCCACACAGATGGGATAATAAACCTTTTTTTTTTCTTAGGGATGTCTGGCTGAAATCTCTCTATTAGAGTACGAATTTACCCACCAGGACTCTGATTTGTCGAAGATTGGATAGGATTTCCGCCCCCAGAACATGGAGACACCGAGCCTTCCCTTACCGGATCTTTAAACCTAAACACATCAATTCTACCCATGCATTGATCGAAATCGACTATCCCTTGGACTCGAAGCCACGAGAGAAGAATCAGAATGGAAGATTCCCTTTCCCACTTCAAAGAATTTGATTGCCCTGAAGCTCCGAGTAGGGACAGTTATTTTTTTAACTCTATTTCAGAGATATCAGTTAAAAACTATATCTCCATAGAAACAACCTCCAATATAGATCTTATGATTCTCATGTTCAAGAGACCCTCAGGTTCGTGTCCCGAACGTCTCGCCGTGTTTATCGACCCATCGGACAAATCTGTCTGACAACCTTCTACTGAGGTATCAGAAGGGGAAGTTATTTTTTGATTAACTTATGTTTAAGTTTTTAGACAAAAAATAATGCAATGACATTTCGGGAATCAATGCCCGATTCAAAAATCAGTGCCCGATTGCAAAAACCCATTTTGCTGTACTACGACACCGCCTCGGCAATACACGGTGGACCAGGGCTGTTTACACCGCCAATTGCCCTACGCCTCGGGGCCTCGCTACAACTTGACGTAAATGGTCATTACAAGAGTTTCAGAAGGCGACTTGAAAAGGCGACTTAAAAGTGCCCAAGCCTAGAAAATGGCCCTCATTGTGCCAAACAGTAAACAACACGGTGGGTCAAAACAGACCAGCCCAAGCCAAACAGCCCAAGCCGACGGAGATCTAGCCAATTGGCCAAAGCAGGCGAAAGCAGGCGATCTAGTCAACAAACAAGTGGCGTAGAATTGATCATATGTTATGGATCATAGTGGGTAGGGCATGGACCAGACTGATTCGCAGATCGACCAAACATGCCGGGCCCATGCCGCCCATGCTATACTGATTCCACAACACATGCCCTCGCCACTCTCAAAATAGAAAAATGCAAAAACGTAAAATACAAAAACAGAATAATAGCCAAAAGAGAAAAATGCAAAATCGTAAAATTGCCAAAACGTAACGCCTCACCCAATCCATCGTACGGACGGCTACAGGGGCCACCCACCACTCGCGAAAACTCGCCCCACGGCCCAAGCCCTGATCTAGATCGCCTCGTAAAAAAACCGCCGGCCATCGAGCCACAAACCCAGCGTTTCCTAGCACTTCCCGCCGCCGTCCACTAAAGCCTTTTGGCGCCCTCCCACGCCTCGTTTTGTGCCCAGTTTTCCACCTCTTGCGTGGTGGATTCTTGCGTGTTCGCGGTTTGCAGCCATTCAAGAAATTCTTCGCCGAGGCCGCGAACTGATTAGCGAGGTATTATGGAAATTGGCGAGCGAATGGATGGCCATTGATAGACAGAATGGGCCTTAGTCCATTGCCAGAAAACAAACAAAAGCATTCTTTTCAATTGAATATATCCAATGATATCCAACCAATTCCCCCCGCTTTTGTCTTTTTTACCCCTGGCTGCACTGATTTTGGCGTCTTTTTCCCGATCCATCAAATACCTTCCACAAAACCTTTGCCCAGGCTGGGCGGCAGATTTGTCCGCGATAATGGTTTGGCCCTGGCATTTAAAAAATCGTTCCTTGGCCCGCACGCGCGTTGAATCTTCAATGGTGAGGCGCGGAACACGAAAATGCAAAAAACGTTTGACCGTGACGCAGACGACATTTTTTGCTGACCAGGGGCTGCAAAACCCTAATTAATTCAGTTTTGGGAAATTCAATGCACATTGTATGCCGTGGTTACGTCCTTGTAGCCCGTGCTGCTTATGTATACCGATGTGTGTTGGTTCATGGTATACCGCGTAGGCGACAGGCTTAGAAGCACGGTTGGCCAGGCCGGGCCATCCCAGAGATCCAGCCCACAGTGCGCTAGGCGTAGTTCAATGGGGGTCAGCAAGCCTTTGCAATTAGCAAAAATGAATTTGAATGAAAAAAATAACGACATCAGCAGGATTCGAACCTGCGCGGGCAGAGCCCAATGCATAACCCGAAAAGTTCGAGTGCATCGCCTTAACCACTCGGCCACAATGCCATATACAAGTTTTTGAGTTCTACGGGGAATATATATGGGGCAGATTTAGCGGAACTCAAGAAGTGCAATTTTTGGCATTTTGGGTATTTGGTTTGACTGGTGGTGATCAGCTTGCCCGGCGGAGAGCCCGCCAGCTCCAAAATTGAGCGAGATACGAATTTTTCAAGATTTTGGTCAATCCAAGGAAGCCCGATCCCCCAAGTCCAGACCCAAATGGCACCTCTGAAGCTGTATACGGCAACAGTAAACAATCAAGACCCAGCCAAACGAAGCTGGCTCCATTCGGCACCAGATTGACGCTTTTGACTTTCGAAAATCAAACCTTGCACTATAAGCTCCAATTCACCGATAACAGCCCAATCATCAACACTACCAGCCTTCCCTTAGAAGCTATTTTCCAAAGCTTAACCTCTGAAAAACCCTCCAAAGCCAGTCCCAGAGGATATCGCATCCTATCCCATCAGGGTCCAAGGCTTATCATCAAGCCAACGGCAAACTGAGTTTCAGCTTCTCTTCCCGAAATGTGGCCTTGGCTGCCGTTTTTGAAAAGAAGAAAAATACAGCCATTACGAAAATGTCGGTCGGGAGGTTATGGCGGACCCGTGGGCAAATTAGCCTCTCTACTTTTAGCGTTTGACTAGCCAAGTACAGCGGCAGCTTTTCAAATAGGAAAGCCCAACGGAGGGCCGAAAATAGAGCGTTAGGGGGCTAAAAGAAGCACAAACATTCGGGCCAGATCGGGCGTGGTGGTTATGGAAAACATGGCAATCATCAAGAGTCAGAGCAAGGTTGGATGGAAAAGGTACAAGGCACAGAGTTCAAAACGGACTTTCTTCGGTTCTCGAACCCGACGGTTCGGCCGAGTTCTTGGCCATCGGCAGCAACAAAAGCAGAAGGCACCGAAGCTGAAAAGCAGCAAAGAAGTGGGTCCAAACCAGCACATGAGAATTTCAAAAATAGCGAGAGTCAATTTAGGCTTTGCAAGACATGTAGGGACTTTTGTCCAGGCACCGGGGAACATTAGGGGAGCCACGGAATAGAGTTTGGAATAGGGAGCCACGGTTAGGAGAAAATTACGGTTCTGCAAAGGCTAGTCATGATTTGTAATGGATAGTGGAAAATTGGCACCCTGGACGAACCAGCAACGAAGGGCCCCCCCTTTCCTTAGTCAAACCACTTTCTAAAAATACTCGCCTGGCTCGTTTAGAGCCCTCTAAAAATGTCTACACCCTATCGTTGCTGCCAACCCTGATGGCCCGGGGTACTGGGGTCCGAGAAACCGAGTGGCATGATAGTAGCGGTCGGGAAGCGGAGTTCCACGTTCTAAGCCTGGACACATTTAGCAACGAGAAGACTGTTTTTGTAACGATCCAAGCAACAAGCAAAGATAACCAGTAATGTATCTCGCAGACAATAGTTCTGTGGAGCGGTTATTGAGCGGTTAAACCCGGAGCACGCACATTAGAGCGAATGTTGATAAGGAATGGGAGCATTTGCAAAATGGTCAAATCAACAATTTGATAATCGCTTTCTGTTTGTTTTGATCAACTTCCAGATCTTGACAGCTTCGGGTATTGTCTTCGGGGGTTGCCAAGGTTTCGCAGCCAATGGGCGGAAAAAGCGTGTGAACGGAATGAGCTCAATTCAGCCTTGCTCCATCTCAACAGAGCACAAGATCGTGCAACCAAGCCCCTATACGCTGCCCGGCTGTTTACGAGATCAGCGAGAAAAAACATCAAGTTGAAAAAACCAAAAAAGAATGCCGAAGATCACAATTGCAAAAGCCCTCCAAAGCCCTGGGGCTCGATACGTGAAGATTTCAAGAATTGGCGTTTGCAAACGGGCAAAATAATACAATTGTTTTTGCTTTGAGAATTCTACGCTTGAGGCTGTAAGGCCTCCAGGCTCGGCAGGGGCTTATTCTGGTTGCGGGTGCAAATGGCTATTTTTGCAGCTGTCTCGATCTGATGGATGCCAGGCCACTGTTTTCATTTCGCACCGTGCCTGCCTTGGCATTTGGCAACGGATTTGCAGCCAGCAGGCACGGCCAGCAAGCGGCACCGTAGTCTGCGCCACTATATAATAATTCAAATTAAATCTAAATACTAGTACAAAACCTAGGCCAATTCGGCACATTCTGTTCCATCTGATAGGCCAAGATGTGCAATATTCACGGGAACTAGGCACCCCTGCCCAAAGCCCCATGTCGCAGCCTCTGCAGGGTGACACGCAGCAAACCGGTCACCTACACTACAATGCGCCTGCACACAGTACCCCTGCAGCCCGCACGGCCCACAGCTTGCATGCTGCAAACGCGATCACCCACACACACTCCATCCGAATAGCTGCAAAACCGGCCATCCCACTAACTTCTCCCTCCATTATATAAACCCTCCTCCTGCCCCCTTCCTAGTGGCTTTTTTTCTATCTCATCAAAACACATCCATTCGCTTTATCATGAAGTTTTCTTCGCTCATCTCCGCAGCTGCCCTCACTTCGGCCGCTATCGCTCAAGAGGTTTCCTGCCGTGTCAATGGCCAGGAGGTTGCCCAGGTTGACTTGGACACTGGTAACTGTCCTTTCAGCATCCCAAGCGAGCTTCCTGTCACCTTCAGATTCGACGCTGAGGACGACTACGAGGTTGACGCCTACTACGTCCAGGCTGACCAGAAGTACTGGAACGACATTGAGAACGCCGGTAGAACCGTTGAGGTTCCTGCCAGAGAGTTGTACGGTAAGGGAACCACCGACTTGTACCACGTCCACGCTGAGGAGTCTCCATCCTCCAACTCCACCGCCGCCTTGAGAAGAAGATTCAACGCCCAGATCTTGCAGGCCAGAGACGAGAAGGACGACCTTATTGCCTCTATCAAGAACCAGGACGGTGAGGCTTCCTCTGTCACTGTTGAGGTTGTCGATGTTAACGCCCCAACCACCACCCCAGCTCCATCTGAGTCCACTGCCACCGAGACCAACACCCACACTACCATCATCACCGTCACCTCTTGCGAGGACAACGAGTGCCACGAGACCACCGCCTCTGCCACCTGGGGTCCAACCACTACCACTGTTGACGGTACCACCACTGTCTACACTACCTGGTGCCCTGTTGTCACTGAGACTAACACCCACACCACCATTGTGACTGTGACCCACTGTGAGGACGACAAGTGCCACGAGACCACTGCTCCTGCCACTTGGGGCCCAACCACCACCACCGTTGCCGGCGAGAAGACTGTCTACACCACCTGGTGCCCAGTCGAGACCCAGACCCACACCACCGTTGTCACCGTTACTCACTGTGAGGACGACAAGTGTGAGGAGACTACTGCTCCAGCCACCTGGGGTCCAACCACCACCACTGTCGCTGGTGAGAAGACTGTTTACACTACCTGGTGCCCAGTTGAGACTGCTCCAGGTGAGACCCCAGCTGAGCCAGCCCCAACCACCAAGGCCGGTGAGACCACCCCAGCTCCAGAGCAGCCAGCTCCAACTGACCAGGCTCCAGCTCCAGCTCCTACTGACGAGGCTCCAGGTGCTCCAGCTCCTTCCGAGGAGGCTCCAGCTCCAGCCCCAACTGACGAGGCTCCAGGTGCCCCAGCTCCTTCTGGTGAGGCCCCAGCTCCAGGTGCCCCAGCTCCAACTGACGAGGCTCCTGCTCCAGGTCAATCCACCGTGGCTGGTCCATCTACTTTGGTGTCTACTCCTGGTGGCGTTGCTCCAACCGAGTCTGCCATCTCCACCTACGAGGGTGCTGGTGCCGCTGTCAAGGGCTCTTTGCTCGCTTTGGCTGCCATCCCTCTTGCTTACGTTTTGTAAGTAGGTTGACGATTTCTCATTTCTTTTGCATCAACGCTGACAAGCGTTTGTCGGTGAAACATGCCCTTTTCCAGGCTTCACTTTTTATTACGGTTTTCACACATTTTTTCCCCTTTGCCTTTTGAGCAGGTTAGCTCATTTACTTTCGGCGAAACTGAACCCCAAAATTCATACGGAACATTTAATTTCCCCCTTCTAATACACCAATCGGAAAACTTTCCTCGTAGTCGTATCGGTACGCTTGCTGCCGTTTGCAGCCACCAGGGCTCCCAACATGTGCGCGATTTTCTGCACCAGCACTGCAGCAATGGTCTGAGTGGGAGGTCGGTGTCGTGTGAGACTCATAAACATACCCACGAGGCTCGGCTTTTCTTGTCCATAGCCAGTGGTTGAGAAATACGCGGATGTTTGAGCGTCTTGGTTTCGGCGTTTTTGTAGAAGCAGTCCGGCTAAAATGACCTCAAACTCCGAACCCATGCAACAATGCAAGCAAGTCCGTTGAGGCCCATTGTTCAGTGGACATTGGCGGTTAGGCATAATAAGGCGAGGTAGAAATGGCCTGATGGTGAGGTTTGGCACTTTTCAACAATCACGAAAAATGGCGTCTTATCGAGATGCTTTGGGATGCACGATAACGAAAAGAAAATAAACAGATGCCGAAGAAAAGCGGTGACAATGGGAATTTGGGGTGTGTTTTTGGGGTGTGGAATTGGGGGAGTGTTTCTTGGGTTTATGCGCTATCGGAGTTGCACGGTGAGGATTTCTGAACCAATAATTAGATCATCATCAAGGCAAAAACGAACAATTACCTCACAATAAATTCAGCCTTCAATAGACGATCGACCCATTATTCGGCTAGAATTGACCCCTTGTGGCTCGCTGGGTGGGGACTAAACAATCGAAAACTAGCCTGTAGGACATTGTGAGGACATATGATCCAGAGAATGATCGGTAGATCAATGTACGCAATTTAGAGCTGCTTTAGATTTTTCAGTACCCCTCGGCCCTTAGTGAATGGGAGTACCGAAACTCGGAGATATTGAAAAGCTGGTGTGGCTTTGCTGTGAAGGAGCGACACTCTTAATTGTATATCTCACAATGATACCGTTTTCGTGCCGTGGATGGAGGAGGTGAATTCCAGCGATCTGCTAATGGGCATTATTAAATACTTTATAGTGGACACCTCCTTTTAGTGGACGGTTTCGGCAGGCTATGGACCCTGCAATAAGCGGCTGAGACACACGCAGACCTCATGGCAGCGATCGCCATTCCCGACTCGTAATTTGTTTTTAGATTTTCATTTAAAATTAGATTGAGTTTTGGGGAGGTTGAAGGTGTTGCACCATTGGGAATTCTGTTGGTTCTGTGATATTTAAGGCACTTTGATGTCTGGCACATTTCGATGTCTAGCAATTGAGTAGCTTAAAAGTCATTTATTGGAAGCTAATATCCACTAGGTGACAGCTGTTTCATGAGAGGACGATAGACCGATCTGAGCCGCCGTCGCTTGGCCCATTCTTGTCCACATTCGTCTCAATCCTCGACGCTTTTGGAGAATGATGCTAATATTAGAAATGCTTAATTTAACTCAAAACGCTGCTAAAACGTTCAGACAGCCTGGACCTTCGATTAACACGTCAATGGGTCCTTTTTCACCAGATTTTCTGGACTGGGTGCAAGGGACCGGCACACAAGCCGGTTTTGAGACAAATGGCTGCAATTAAGGTGTTTGATATCCTGTCAGTACTGCACACAACCGTTTGAGAATGGTGAAGCCGCCGGTATTTTTTGCAGCCATTAAATTCTCATATCCCATTGGGAGGTTGATGTTTCAAAATGAAGATTTGAAACCACCGCCCAGAGAAGTATAAGTAGGCCTTGATTTTCTTGGACTTTCATCCCAAGAACCATGCTTCCTCTCACACTTCTTCTAACCTTGGCTGCCGCCGAGTACATCACTGAAACCAATGTTAGAACGCACATCACCACCTTGACATCATGTGCTAACAATGGTTGCAACAAAGGCGAATCTCCTGAAGAAGTTCAAACCCTTACCAGTACTTTGGTTGACTGGGAGACCACCACCTGGTGTCCAGAGTCTGAGACTACTGAGCAAGGCATCCCTGAGACTTCTGTTGAGGTACCACCTATGGAACCACCCATTGAAACCCAACCTGATACTCCTCCTGAAGCAACAACTGACTGTGACACTACACCCAACGAGCCACCAGTTGAAACTGCCACTGAGCCATGTGAGGGTTGTGAAACTCCTGACACATACACTGAAACCACCTCGTGTGAGACGCCACTTGAGACGCCAGAGACTGAGACTACTCCTTGCGAGACTATCGAGACACCTATTGAGACTGTTGACACTGAAACATTTTCAATCGAGACACCCGTTGAGACTGGTGGTACCACTTCGTGCGAGACTGAGACTTTTGAGACCGAGACTTTCGAAACTGGCACCACTTCATGTGATACCGAGACCTTCGAAACTGGCACCACCTCTTGTGAAACCGAGACTTTCGAAACCGAGACCACTTCTTGTGACACCTTCAGCGAGCCTGATGTGACGCCTTTCGATGAGACATCTACTGGAGAGACATTCTCTGAGGGCACTACCATCTCAAGCAGTTTCAGCACTGGAATCACTTCTGAAACAACCGAGGAGACCACCTCCGAGTTTACTTCTGAGACCATTCTGACTTTTGAAACTTCCGAGTCGAGTTCTACTGAGACCGAAGTCACATCCTCCATCGAGATTCCTTCATCTTATGGTATTCCAGAGACTTCTTCAGCTCCAGAGGTTTCCACATCTGAGTCTTCTTCCGAGTCTTCTACAACTGAGTCCTCGACTTCAGAGTCTTCCACTTCTGAGTCCTCGACTACTGAATCATCCTCAACTGAGTCTTCTTCAACTGAATCGTCTTCAACTGAGTCGTCTTCAACCGAATCTTTTACAACTGAGACATCTTCCACCGAGTCCTCAACCTCAGAGTCTTCTACAAACCCTGGTACATCTTCTGCACCAGAGACTTCGTCGGAGCAGACATCCTCCAATCCTGAAACATCATCCGAATCAACCACTTCTTCGTCGACCTCAACTTCAGTGCAGCCAGTTCCATCGACTTCAACGGTGCCTCCAGTGACGATCACCCTGACCATCCCATGCAAAAAGTGTGAAGGCGGAATCACTGTTTCAACGTTCACCAGCACGGTCCCTCCTCCAGAACCTAACACTGTCGTTACCACTGAAACCGAGTCTTGTCTGACCGATGTTCCAGAAACTGAAACCACTCCTGAAACCACGCCTGAAACTACACCAAAATCATCGAAGCCTCTGACTTCCACCGAGAGTACCCCAGCTGAATCGAAGCCAACTCCCGAAGAGTCCACTCCGGTCGAATCGCAACCAGTTCCTGAAGAGTCTACTCCTGTTGAGACCACTCCAGCTGAAACCACTCCAGCTGAAACCACCCCAAAGCTGAAGACAACATCCAACACCACTCCAAAGGCGTCCACACCAAAGGCTTCTACTCCAGCTGAACCAACTTCTGAGACGACCTCTTCCACCAAGCCTGACACCTCAACGAAGCCCAAGGAGACCCCAGCCGAGTCTACCCCAGTGGAATCCCAGCCAGCCGAGTCAACTCCAGAAAAGCCAAAGACCCCTGGTACAACTTCTGAAACACCCGCTGAGACAACACCTGCCGAGACATCTCCAGAGGAGCCTACCCCAGAAACCCCAGAGACTCCAGCTGAAACAACCCCACAAGAAACTACGCCAGCTGAAACCACTCCACAAGAAACAACCCCAGCTGAAACTACTCCCAACAACGAAACTCCAGAAAAGCCACAATCTGAAACTCCAGAGACAAACACCCCAGACGAACCAACCACATCCTTGACCACCAGCATCACACTGACCCACTACGTTCCCAACGAGACTGGCCATGAAACCGGCAAGACTGAAACTGAAACTAGACACAGTGAAACCGGCCATTCTGGAACCCACCACTCTGAAACTGGCAATACCGAGAAACCAAACACCTCCACCTACTCTGAGCCTCAGCCTGATGCTACTGAAACACCCACTACCCAGAAACCATCTTCGTTGAAGGGAGAGGAGACTACCGACTCGTTCACCCCATCTACATTGACTAGTGCTCCAGCTCCTAGCTGCACTGGAGAAGACTGTTGCACTGGAGAAGACTGTAACACTACAGTTTCTGTTCAAACTTCAATCACCCACTCAGAAGGTCCAAGCATTTCTTCATGGGAAGGTGCTGCCTCTGGAAAATCCATTTCCTTGATGGCCGTTGCCGCCTGGGTTTTCCTTCTTTAACTTTAATTCCTGATTGTGCATTCGTTTTATAATCAGTGTTCGCTTTTCGTTTAAATATATGATCTAGAGAAGACTTTGTAGGCAACAAAACGGAGAAGGCTGATATCTACCGCTCCATTCATATACTTCTGTTTCATCTACACTCTACAAAAATTCATCAATATGTCGAATCGGTATGTTGAATACACTCATCTAATAAATAGTCTAGTACACCTCCAAGATGTAACGACCGTCCTCCTTCATGTCCTCCACGACCTTGGCCACATCCTTGATTACTTGACCGGCCTTTTCAGCACCGTGCTTGACGATATCCTCCAAACAGGCGGTGATGTCAGGAACAGGCCAGGTTGGACCACAAAGGTAGAACGAACCCTCCTTGGTAACAATGGCATCGGTCAACTCCTCAATGGAGCTTCTGATCTTGTCTTGAATGTAAATCTTCTGAGGCTGGTCACGAGAGAAAGCAGCACCAATGTGGGTCAAAATGCCTGCTTCCTTATAGGCCTCCCAGAGCTCACCGTAAAGGTACTCCTCCTTCTTGTGTCTGGAACCCATGTACAAGTAGATTTCACCAATCTTGTGGCCCTGCTCCTGCTGCCAGATCTTCTCCTCAATGAAGGCCTTGAAAGGAGCCAAACCGGTACCCAAACCAGACATGACAATAGGCTGTTCAGGCAACTTGGGCAACTTCATGACAGAAGGCTTCACGCTAACCACCAATTCGTCGCCGATTCTGAGATCAGACAAAAACTTGGAACAGTGACCGTAACGGGTTCTGCCCTTGCTGTCGACCCAGTCCACCACCACAATCAAAAGATGGACCGAGTTGGGGTGCATCTTCTGGGAAGAAGCAATAGAATACTCTCTTCTCTTCAAAGGAGCAATGATCTTGACCAAATCCTCAAAAGCAGGTCTGGCGGACTTGAACTCCTCGAGAATGTCAACGTAACTGGCAAAGTCCACCTCCTGTCTCTTCTTCAACTCCTCGGCACCAGCACCGCTGGCCAAGTTCTCCAAAGCAGCCTTCTCCTTCTCTTCAGTGGCATAAGGAGCCAAAGACTCGTAGAAACGCTTGGGTGGTTTACCCAAAAAGTCCACATTGTCGGACAAGGCCTGTCTAGCAGATCTGATCTCCAACAACGAGGAGTCGTCCTTGTTGGTCACCTCCACCAAGGAGTCGCCGTCCACACCGTAGAATTCCAAAAATGACTCGACCTGGTCGGCGTTGTTTCTGCCGTGAATACCCAAGGCCTCACCAATCTCGTACTTCAAGCCGGTACCGGTGACATCAAACTCAATGTGGAAGATGTTTCTCGAGTACTCAGAGGGCGTCAATCTCTTGTTTTCCTGGACCTTGACCACAAAGTTCTTCACTGGAAGATCGGGTCTCAAATCCTTGGTCACACCATAAGCCTCAGGGAACGCAAGCTTGATAGCGGCATCCAGCTTACCCTTGTGGAAGTTATCTTCAGCACCAGTGTCTTCAGCTCTAGGGTTAGGGAAAAAGGAGGATTCCGTGGGGAAGAAGGGCAAAGGCTTGGGCTCCTCTTCGGCCTCGGCTTCCTTTTCAGACTTGGTGTCGCCGTTGTGGTCTTCCTTTTCGGCCTTTTCGTCAACCTTTTCGGTTTCAACCTGTGCCTCTGGAACAACCTCCTCAAGGTCGACCCACTCCTCGGGAATTTCAACTTCCTTCAAAGCGTTCTTCTCGTCCACAGTAGCCACAAACTTGTCCAAAACGGCAGCCAAAAGCTCGAAATCGTTGCCGTTGGCTTGCAACAACTTGTTGACGATGAAACCGTCCAATTCAGGCAAAGCGGCTCTCCAGAAAGCCACCTGGGTCAAGAAGTCCGCAGAAAAGCCCTTGGTGGAGTCACTGACAGCGTCCAACTCCTCAATCAACGAAAAGTCAATAACGGTCAAAGAAGAGCGGGATTTGGCCAAGGTGCGCTTGAAGTCAAGAGGTAACTTCTCCACAAAGTCCTGTTCGATACTGTTGGTGATCTTCTTGTGGTTGGCCAAGACGATTTTGGCACCTGGCTTGGCGGTAGCCAAAATGTCGTAGTGGTTCAAGATGGAAACGTCCTCGATCAACACCACATCGGCAGCATCCACAGAAGTGGAAACAGGGCTGTTTTTGGCAGCACTGACCACCTGAGCCTGGGCAATTCCGCCTGCAACAGAAGTGTCGTACTTGTTTCTGTACGAAACGTTCTTGGAGTCGTCCAACGACAACGAAAGCGCCAACTTACTGAAGGTCTCCACAATGTCGCTGTTGTCACGAGTCCAGAACAAGAAAGAGCCTTCGGGAGAGGTGTTGGCGGTGATGTTAGCTGGAGGAGCCGTAGGCTGAGAAGCCAAAACAACGGCAGGATCCACGGAAGCGTATTCGGAAATAACCTTCAAAGTTGGAATTGGAGCCCAGACGAAATTGGCTGGGTGCACAAACTCCTCCACAGAAACAGAGCCAAAACGGCCTCCAAGGAACAAAGCAGCAGCAACATCAGCCTTCAAGGTCGAGCCGTTTTCAGCAGAAACAACCACAACCTTACGGGCCGAAGAAGGCACAGAAGCGACAAACTGCTCCTGGCTAAATGGGAAAGGCACTCTGACCTTCACCAAACCGACTGGAGCGGAGGTGGAGGCCTTGGAAATGACGCCAGAAAGCTCTGAAGCCTCGTTAGCACCGAAAACGACAAAAACGGTTTCCGGGTTGGCGTGGCCCTCGTACTCAAAAGGCTTCAAGTTTGTGCCGGCGACCTTGTTGAAAACCTCAAAAGCAGTGGACACAGCCTGGTCCAAGGAAAGCTCATTGGCAGCCAAAGAAGAAACCAACTGCTGGTACAAACGGCCCACATCGGCCACCGACAAAATGTCCTCGTACTTGGCAAACAAGCGGGCGAACTCAGGACCGTCGAAAACGTGCAAAGATGGGCTCTTGAGCAAAGCAGCCAAAAAGTGGGAAAGCACCGTGGTGTACTGCAATTCCAAAGCCGAGTGGGCATCCACAGGACCAATAACAGGGAAACCGAGGTTACGGGCCACGGCCAAGGGAGTAGCGTAGTTGGAAACCAAGGAGCTGGTTGTTTCATCAAAGTCGATCGCTGAAACGTTCAAGCTCAAGGGCAATTTTGCAGCCACAGCCAAAGTAGGCTGCATGTATGGCAAAGCGTTGGCGCCCAAAACGGCCGTGTGTGGGCCCGTCAGAGAAACGTTGCTAGCAGCGTAACCCAAAATAGCATTGGCAGAACCGGCTCTAGGCTCAAATCTGTGGAATGGCGGAACAACACCCACAGCATTCTGTCTCTTGAAGTGCAGGGCCCAAAGCTGCAAATGAGCATCGACCAAGTTGGCGGCGCCCACGGTCTCGTACGAGAAAATGGTGCTGGACAAGGCGTACACAGCTTGGGAAATGATGGTGGCAGGAGAGGTGTAGGCGGTGTTCTTCAACAAGTGAGGATCAACCGAGGCACCAAAAGGGTTTGCCTTGACGACGTGGGAGGACGCGGCAGACGCGTTGGAGGCCAGGGCAGGCGACTTGGTCCCGTTGGGGATCGCGTGGGGGCTCATGAAGAAAGGGGTAGTTTTGAGTTTTTTTTGGTTGTTGGATATGGAATGGAGCTGATGGGCTGGAAAATTATGGGCGGTCACGTGATATGATGTATTGCACGTGATCTTATCGCTCATAAATGGCTGCGAAAAAAAAAGAAAATCCGGGGGTTGAGGTGGAGGGGGGCATGGAGGGGGGCCTCGAGGGAGGCCTCGATTGATTAGATAGGGGGATAAGACATGGAATAAGGAGTTTGTTTGAGGAGATGCTTGGGTTTGATGGGGTTTTGGTTTTTGGGATTGTTTTTTTTTTTAAGATTTGATTTTGGTTTGGTATGGTCAGCCGTGTGGGTGCACTCACTGGAGTCAATAGTTATGATGAAAGATAGTAGATACACAGGGAAGGTGTGACGGAGCGATTATCGGGAATATAGACATAGAGAAGAAGTAGAATGTGCAATGTAGGGAGGAGGGGTGGTTTTTGGAAGTTTTGACCGACTGGGAGCCCCATACCAGGACTTGTCTCATCATTCTCATGGAATTTCGGCAAATGGAAAGGGTACCCGAAGAGCACTGATGTTCTGTTTATTTAGCCTTCATTACGACATTTTCTGCCATTTCCAGAAATTATACTTGTTCCATGATTTGATTTGTGAACGTCTGCCTTGCTTGTGAACGTACCTGAGACGGGTTCTCCATCAGTGCCGATAAATACAATGTTCTTTTTGTGCTGCAAATGATGGAAATGCATTTTGAAGGCATGCGTGAAGATTTCAAAATCAACCTACTAAAGAGCTGTTTTTCATTGCTTCCGCTGTGCACCACTCAATGACCACCCAAGAAGCAGTGCTGAGAGTACTGGTAGGAAATGTAACAAAAACGAAGGAAGCGTTTTGTGATAACAAAGTTGAATCTATTATCTGCCTATAGTAACAAAGTGAAGTTACTACTTCATTTACCTCTGCCCCAATACTCTCCATTCTCCGATTCCACATACATTTATTCTTTTGTGGTCTATGCCTATTATTCGTACTTCCCATTCCACAATAACCTTTCCCTCCATAATAGCCAATTCACTTATCATACAACCTCGATTTCCAATCAGTGCTTCGGAAATACATCTAAATGCTTTAACCTCCATTACCCGAAGATGGAGCATCTCACTAACCTTATTTGACCTCGAGCCGCACGGTGTGACACATCTGACACCGAACTACAGCTCCTTGACAAAATCGGCACGTCAAAGCCGATGAAAACTCCTTTCTATCTGAATCCAAAATCGAAAGTCATCTCCACAAATTCCATGATTCCTAGATCTTGGCTTCCACCATATACGCATCTATCTTGCAAGCGCCGAATTCTGGGGTAATCCAGTCCATCAAACGGCACCACCAGGTACTCTAAACCACCGATGCACAACAGCTTTTCATATAAACAATCAATTTTTCTATCTC